AAAAGTGATTTTGTTTGTGAGTTTAACCTCATAAAAATTGTTTTGACATAACACAAAAAATGGTTTTAATATAAAAATAGCATGACAAAATTGGGAGCATCTTGAGAAATGGCAGATTAAAATACCATCATAATGAGAGATATGATGCTGTACCTGGGCCATCACGATGAATACACACGTTTTTTTCGGTTTCCAGCACACAGAAACCATAAAAGGAAAAATCATGGCTGCTGGGATTTAACCAGAAAAGTCAATTTTTCTTCTATATGCAAGCAATTCAGAGGGGCCATTTGTCACATCTCAGTGCGGAGAGTGCCCTTCATCTCTTACTTCTTGGCCTCCTGAGGAGGTGGCTGCTCATTGTGAGGGTGGCCTGGAGCTGCTCCTTGTCATTCAGTTGATATCAAATTGTTGCAGCATTCACATGATCTGTGGGGCAAGGAGGATATTAGCAAACATTCTATCACTTATGCATGCTCCTTTGTTCCTTGACTCTGAACTTGAGGAATGGGCAGACCTCTTTGAAGCTCATGCTGGCTTGACAACTTCTTCCCAGCCCATAATGATTTTTGATAACAGAGTGCTCATTAAAAAGTGACAGTGTCACTTTTTTTTTGGTGCGAAATGTACATGTGACAACTGTATGGCTGTGCAGAAATAAGGGTTTTCATGTACATGCAGAGTAAGTGGTTGTTGTGATATATGTACAGTGTGTCAATTAAGGCAGTGTGTTTGCACAAAAGGGGTGCTTTTTGAGGTAGAGTAGGTGGACAATAAAAGCAGCTTTATTGTAGTGGAGGAGTGTTTCACTGGGCTTTAACCAAGGGACTTGTGCTGCTTTCTTCCTGATGTAGAAGAGGAAGAGGAGGATGTTGAAGTGCTGGTCTTGGGTGGCAGGGGGGAAAAGCCAGGTGAGAGAGGAGTGCTTCGAGGTCAGCACATAGGGTGCTGAGGTCATAATCAGAGAGGAACTTGGAGAGGAAAGAGAGAAGCCAGTTGGAGAGAGAGGAGATGTTGGATTTGGAGGGAATGGGAGTGGAGGATAGGCAGATGAAGTTGCTGTAGAGGGCAGGAATAAGGGAAAGATAGTAGGTGGGGTTTGCCTCAAAGAGGAGATGGCAGGGGGTGCTCTGTGGTGAAGAAGAGAATGGTGCTGGTGCAGTAAGATCTAGGCTCTGGAGAAGGAAGCTGTAGAGGGACTGTGGAAGTGGATTGTGGTTGGAGGCATGGGAAGTGAGGAAGGAAGGAGCTGCCTGAACAATTTTGTGCTTCATGGGATGGATTGGGATGTGTTGGAGGTAGCACTGAGGTGCTGGGATGGCTTTGAGAGGGGCTGGACACCATGGTGGAAATGGGAACATGCTGATGGGAGAAGATGAGGACGTCAAAGCCACTGATGAAGGGGTCAGCTGCAGGGAGGGTGCTGTTGTAAGTGGGAATCAAAGGAGAGAAGGAGAAGTGTAGAAGACAGAAGACCTGGAGGCTGTAGTGGGCTTCTATGTTGACAATGGCGTGGGCAATGTTGGAGGGAGTTGAGCTGATGTAGAAGCCAACACTGTAGGAGGTTGAGAGATGTTCTCCTGTGTTGATGATGTCAAGCTGACAATCAGCTCCATGGATGGTGAAGTCATGTGACCTAAATGGCAAGAAGTCAGTATGAGTTGAAGTGAACTCCCAATGCACATCAGGAAGTGTTGACAAGTTGAAGTTCCCAAAGTGTCAACAAGTTGAAGTTCCCAAAGTGTCAACAAGTTGAAGTTCCCAATGCACATCAGGAAGTGTCAACAAATAAAACTCCCAATGCACATCAGGAACTTCAACTTGTCAACAACCAAAACACCTCAGGGAACAACAAAAAGGCAAGGAAGTACAAACTGGCCAAGCATGGAATTGCAAAAGGCTTGGAAGCATCTTGTGAAGAGTTGTAGCAAGTCAGGGGCTGTACTTCTTCTGCAGCTCAGCATCAGCTTTGTGCTTCACCTTCAAAGGTGAAAGTTCAGTGGTTTTGGACAGTTTAGCCTTCTTGTGTCCTAATGCATAAGGATGTTAGTAGTCCACAAAAAAGGGCTGCAAAATCAAACTACATACCAGCCAGAGGTGCAGGCAATGCTGGGGGAGAAGGAGGAGGGGACAAGCTGGGTGGTGTCTTTGGTGGCTGTAGTGTGCAAAACAAGTGAATAAGTTGAACTTAATGCAGGGCAAGGATGGGATATAGTGTACCTGAGAAACCTTGGCAAGTGCCAGAAGTCTGCGCTGCTGCTCTGTTGTGGATGAAGAACAGGTGTGCATGCCCTGCTCCTTGGCCTTGGATGCTGCTTTCACTGCTGCTAGCTCCTGTTGAAGAGCTTCCAGAGAGGTCTTGAGTGCTTGATCATTGATGAACTTGGAGTGGTAGGGATGGTTCTTGAATGTGTTGGTGACTTCCATTGTGAGCATACTGGGGGGCTGGATCTTGACGTGCTCCCCATCAGGTGAGATGTACTCACCCAGGCAGATGTGCTTCCATATGCTCTGCAGCTCTTGCTCATCCTTGAAGCAGCACTTGGCCATCTTTGCAGCATTTTTGGCTGCATGGAATGTGTCCATCTGTTGTTGCAAGTTGTGCCAGTGTGTTGTGATAAGACCCCAGAAATGTTCTGGAGGACATAGAAACAACATGGTACTGTGGTCAGCAAGCAGCAGAGGGAAATGAAGTGGAGTTATGCATACTTTTGACTGGGGCCTTGTTGTAGTAGAGCTTGTAGTGGTGCAGGACAGCCCTCATGTCTTCTGGTGTCATGCTCCAGAAGGCTTTTGAATTGAGGTTGTCCAGGGACACAAAATCCTGACCCTCTGGCATCATCTGGTTCAGCTGGTGGATAAGACTGCAAGGGTGTGAGAAGGGAGATCAAACATACAGTGTATGTGGTGAAACATACTCTATGATGCCAGGTGCAGCCAGGAGATTGGTGAATGTTGCTGTGTACTTCTGTAGCGTGGTCAGCTTTGGAGCAGTGTGCCCTTCCTGCGTTTTCTGGAAGTCCAAAAAAAGAAGAGGGTGAGTATGGAATGGAAACAAAGGCAGATGGCAAGAGGAATGAAGGAGGCGTACTAAATCCTCAGCAAGCATCGCCCAATCTGTTGTTGTACATGATCCCCACTGTTTGCTGTAGAGTGGCTTCATCCCTTGCAGGTAGTGATTGTAGGCTTTCTCAAAAGTGTTGAGAGTGACCACGCCAGCAAGGCAACATTGCTGCTCAGTGTCACCCTTCTGGTATTTGTGAACTGTTGGCTCACAATGTGGCTGAGTAAGCAGCTCTTCCTCAATATTACAGTGTGCAAAGGGGAAGTGTAAGATAGAGAGTGAGGAGGAAGAGGAGGAGGTTGAGGTGGAAGAGGAGGAAGAGCTGCTTACTCTTACACCCTCTCCACCTTTTTCCACATCTGCCTTCTCAACCTCCTCCACAGCTAGCGCCTTGAGGCGTTGCAGTGATTCAGCTTTCATCATACCAGCAGTCTTGCCAAGAGAGCACAAGAGGGCATCAATGGTATCCTTGGTGACAGCACAAGCATTCGTGGCAGCAAGTGCAGCAAGGGAGCAAAGACTGGCAAGCTTTTCATCAGAAGACATGTTGCTAAAATTTGGAACTTTCAAAGTACAACAACAACTCATCTTAAGAGAGGATAGGATGTTATTGAGCAGTGTGCATACAGCAAGAAGGAATGAAAATAATAAACAACTCCACATTTATGGGAAACAGCCAAGGCTACAAAAAATAATGATTGGCTGTTGGTGACATGTGTTCTGGAATGCATCAACAAATACCAGTACTTAACCCCACATGATTGGAGTTTAATTTGTCAACAGTTCCCAATGCACATCAGGAGTTTTATATGTCAACAGTTCCCAATGCACATCAGGAGTTTTATATGTCAACAGTTCCCAATGCACATCAGGAGTTGTATTTGTTGACAGTTCCTGATGCACATTGGGAGTTGTATTTGTTGACAGTTCCTGATGTGCATTGGGAGTTGTATTTGTTGACAGTTCCTGATGTGCATTGGGAGTTGTATTTGTTGACAGTTCCTGATGTGCATTGGGAGTTGTATTTGTTGACAGTTCCCAATGCACATCAGGAGTTGAATTTGTCAACATAGACACCTCTGACATTCCTTGCAAACATTACTAATGGTGCAAAACACAAATACCTGGTATTACTTGTGTCTGTTATAGCCATTGCTTTTCCATATTCAGTTTAAAAGCCCAGGTTGTGACCATTTTTTCTTATCCTCATCATGGACAACACATCCATCACAACACCACACCATCTTGAAGAGGACCTGGCATCCTCTATTCTTGACTCTCTCTTTGCACAGTCCCTTCAGCCTGTTCCTCACACCCCTAGGAAATGACTACTGTGCACTGTGGAGCAACACACTCTGAAGAAGTGCAGGACCCTAGTTGCTGCTGAGAGACTTCAGGCCCTTCAACATTTTCATTGCTGCAATTCTTTTTGCCTCTCTCACTTCACCTCTGATAAACTGATGGCCATTTCTGCCCCCTATGCAGACATGAATGAGCGTGAGAGAACTCAATTCTTGATCAACACAATGTCTGTCACCTGCACTTCTCTGGTACCCTTATGCTGCTTCAAATTGTGACTTGATGGCTTGCCTGTATACCTCACTGCTTTCCAGAAGGTGCAGCACCATTCCTCCATTTGATATTGCCATTCTTTTTTTTGCAAAATCTGCACTACCATTTTACTCATGGATTGCCAAACAAACCTCATAGGCTCATGGCTTCAGTCACACCAAGTGGTGTTCAGCTCTTCAGGTGTTTATTGCTGGTGGCCAGGTACCTATTCATGATACCTGTGGCCGCAGAAAGCCATCTAATGCTACCACCAACACACACCTGTGGCTTGCCACATTTTTTGATCACTTGCCTGATGGAAATCCACTTACCCATCTCTCTCACATGGCGTGAGGTCCACTCTATGTGCCCACCCATCTCATGTTCCTATTCTCACCTACTCATCCATACTCACACACATTCACACCCTCTTCCCACATGTTAAGCTTCCCAAACATTCTCACTTGGGCAAGTGCTCCATGTGCATCAAGTTTGCTGAGGAGCACCTCAAAGCAAAGAGCCCTCTGGAGGAATCCCAGTTTGCACAGGCAAGAGCTCACCATCTCTCCTTGTCTGCTGTGGAGAGGCTCAATTACAAGGAACACTGCTATCATGCAAAGAGCTGTCCCAGCCACTAGATGAGCCTGATCATTGATTACTCCAACCCCCTTCCATTGCCCACCCATTACCCTGTTCCTAAGGCGTGGATGCAGGCAACAGGTTCATGATGGTGCTAGGTGGTTTGATTGATCATGCCCAGGGCAAACACCTTTTCCTCCACCCCCAACCTTTTTGGCCCAAGGATGCTAACCTTGTCATCTCAACACTCTTTCACCACATTTGTAGACACATTCTCAGCTGCACAATGCCTCACTCACAGCCATCAACCCTCTACCTGCAGGCTGACAATTGCGCTGGTGAGAACAAGAATGTCTACATGCTAACATTTCTCTCTCTCCTCATCAGCTTGGATGTGTTTCAGGAGATCTACTTGAGCTTCCTTCTTGTTGCACACACTCATGAGGATATTGATCAGCTTTTCTCAACCATGCAGACAAAATTCCACACTTCCACCATCCACACCCCTGGGTACACACTGCCTCTTGCTGTTTGTGGACCTTCTTGATGTCTGTTCTTATTGGTTGACAGTTCCCAATGCACATCAGGAGTTTTATTTGTCAACATTTCCTGATGCACATCTATGGCACTGAGGGAACTGTCCCAATGGGGTCTGTTCTGGCATGTGGCTTCACCTTCCATCCAAACACTGGAGTCCCACTGGCAACACTCCAAGAGATCTTTGGACACCTGTAAAATAAATACTCCTCCTTCCTCCTGTGTACACTTCATTGAAATCATTTTGTGTTTTATGTACACCACTTTTTTATTTCATTGACTGTCACTTTTTAATGAGCACTGTGTTAGGGGTGATGATGGCTTGTGTCATCTGAAGGGAGTGGTAGTTTGGGAGGGACCTTATGTTGTGGTCTGTTATGTGGGAAAGTCTTATTAGGAATGGGGAAACAAAAAACTTGCAATGTGCCTCCCAGGTTTTATTTGTTGACATGATGAACATAAAAAATGGAGAGGATGTGCATAGGAATTATTTATGAAATCTGTTTCATCTCAAGTCCCTCAAATGAGCACAAGTTATTATTCCATTGTGTATGTGTACTTTATGGAATATTCACATTAAAGCACTTTATATCACTGTTTCCATGTAGAAGAGGTTGTATTGTGTGTGAGAGAGAATGCAATAAAACACTTGTGTGTTTGTGTGTGACCCAGGAGGCTCATGTCAATTTAGTGACAGTTGTTGTTACTAAGTGTCATTGTGTGGGAGTGCTACTCATTAACCATGATGGTTACCAGTTAATGCTCCTCATCAACACTTGTCTTTGTAGAGGATATCAACTGTTGTCAATGCCCCTACAATTGGCAGAGCCTTGATTGGCTCGATGCTGCGTCAGCTTGCCAGCTGTTCCCTTTGGCACCACCCAACAAAGTCTCTGACCGCTGCGGAGTGATTGAGCCGCGAGGCCTCTTCGGAAAGACTCCCAGGAGATGAGAGTGATTTGAATCCAGAGAGTGAAAATGAAGCACCTGCGGTGGGCGCAAGCACAAGAAGGGAGAACCTCACTTGCAGCCAGCATCATGTTGCCAGCCTAATAATGTCTCATCTTGGCAAGATCATGTACGCTAGAGTCGAGCGAGGCGGTAGCGGGCGTACAGAGGTCGGTGGTCAGATATCGCGAAGG